CGTTAAGAGTGACCCAGGGGAGGGGGTCACAGTAGAGAGAGCATCCGTCACCCCATAGAGAGCATCCGTCACCCCATAGAGAGCTGGGATCGCCCCATAGAGAGAGCATCCGTCACCCCATAGAGAGCAGGGATCGCCCCATAGAGAGCATCCATCACCCCATAGAGAGCAGGGATCGCCCCATAGAGAGAGCATCCATCATCCCATAGAGAGCTGGGATCGCCCCATAGAGAGAGCATCCATCATCCCATAGAGAGCTGGGATCGCCCCATAGAGAGAGCATCCATCACCCCATAGAGAGCATCCATCACCCCATAGAGAGCAGGGATCGCCCCATAGAGAGAGCATCCATCACCCCATAGAGAGCAGGGATCGCCCCATAGTGAGCATCCATCACCCCATAGCAAGCACTTATCACCCCATAGGGATGGATGGGGTGGAGGAGTGGAGGGGACAGGAGAGCCCCATGTGGGGGGCATGGGAACAATGGGTGCCAGCACTGTGTGTCTGTGGGGCTTAGGTCTATGGGGCTCAGGCTCTGTGGGGCTCTATGGAGCTCAGGTCTATGGGGCTCTAGGCTCTATGGGGCTCAGGGTTCTATGGTGCTCTATGGAGCTCAGGGCTCTATGGTGCTCAGGGCTCTATGGGGCTCTATGGAGCTCAGTTCTATGGGATTCAGGGCTCTATAGGGCTCTATGGAACTCAGGGCTCTATGGGGCTCAGGGCTCTATGGGGCTCAGTTCTACGGGATTCAGGGCTCTATGGAACTCGGAGCTCTATGAGGCTCTATGGGGCTCAGGGCTCTATGGGGCTCAGTTCTACGGGATTCAGGGCTCTATGGAACTCAGAGCTCTATGAGGCTCTATGGGGCCCTATGGGGCTCAGGGCTCTATGGGGCTCAGTTCTATGGGTTTCAGAGCTCTATAGGGCTCTATGGAACTCAGAGCTCTATGAGGCTCTATGGGGCCCTATGGGGCTCAGGGCTCTATGGGGCTCCATGGATTTGCTCCATGGGCCTATGGCCCTCCCACTCTATGCGGCTCATGGGCCCCTATGGGCTCACCTCCATGCCCATGGGGCTCTATGGCCCTCCTCCCTCCATCCCTACTCCCTCCCCACATCCCCTTCCCTCCCATCACCATGGCGACGGAGCAGGCAAGGACCGGACCCCCATCCCTGTGCGCATCCCATGGGATGAGGGGTGGGAACACAGGGGCTTGGTGGCACCGGTGGCTCTGCCTTTGCTACCTATGGAACTGGGAATACCATCCCCTTCCGGGCCTTGATATCCATACTGGAGCCATGGGGACAGGGGGATGTGGTGGTACCCAATTCCCACTGCACAATGCGATGCTTAGGGGGGACATCACTGGGATGAGGGTTTGGGACCGGATGCGACCCCCCCATCCCTTCCAGAGCAGAATTCCCCATGGATTTGATAGGACACCCCCCATTGGGGCCAGGTTGGACACAGGGGCTTGGAGCAAGCTGCTCCAGTGGAAGGGGTTGGATGAGCTTTGCGCTCCCTTTATCCCAACCCATTCCAGGATGGATTGGGATCGCTCCTGGGCATTCCCATCACTCCCCTTTCCCCCCTGCAGAAGAAGATCCTCATCATGCTCTGCTGCATCATCCTCGCCGTTATCCTGGCCGCCAGCATCGGCAGCATCTTCGCCTGAGCCCATCCCGCTGCCCTCAGGTGATGGAGCACCCACATTGGGAACGGGATCACTGGGAATGGGATTGGATTCACCCCAAAGCACCAGTGCGGACTGGGGGAGCCCCCTGTTAAGGAGGGATGGGGATGGAGCTCCGTTGGTCCTCATCTTGTTCCAGGTGGCCTTTCCCGCTCCATGATGATCCCATTGTGGCTCCGGCCTTGTCCCCCAGAGCCATGAGGACATCCCTGTGCATCCCAAAGGAACGGAGACCCCGCATCCCCATCCTTTGCTCTGCATCCCGTCCATCCCTGGGGCAGCATCCATGCTCAGAGCAGGACGAGCAGCATCCCCCTTTCCCTACAGCCGTATCCATAGGGATTCTCCATCCCGGAGGCTCCTTGGATGCTCCCTAATAAAACCATCACCCGAGCCTATGGTTCCTTATGGGAAGAACCTAAAGAGGCTTTAGGAAAACCGGGATAGGAGCAGAAAGGACCCCAATGGATACAGGGAACGCATCCAGCATCATCCCATCCCTATGGACCAGCGCATCCCTTGGGAAGCTTTAATCCCTTTTCCCATCACACACGGTGCTTGAGGAAGAACTTGCCCCAGTAGCGCCCATGGAGGTGCAGGTCATAGGGGCTCAGGTACCGGCGCATCCCCAACATATTGGCTCTCACCACACGCTCAAAGGTCTACAGCTGTATCCATAGGGATTCTCCATCCCGGAGGCTCCTTGGATGCTCCCTAATAAAACCATCACCCGAGCCTATGGTTCCTTATGGGAAGAACCTAAAGAGGCTTTAGGAAAACCGGGATAGGAGCAGAAAGGACCCCAATGGATACAGGGAACGCATCCAGCATCATCCCATCCGTATGGACCAGCGCATCCCTTGGGAAGCTTTAATCCCTTTTCCCATCACACACGGTGCTTGAGGAAGAACTTGCCCCAGTAGCGCCCATGGAGGTGCAGGTCATAGGGGCTCAGGTACCGGCGCATCCCCAACATATTGGCTCTCACCACACGCTCAAAGGTCCATGGGTTCTGGTTCTGGAGCTTCCTCTCCTCCTCTTCCCGACGCATCCGTTCCAGACCGGATCTGCTGATGGGAATGGCCGGGAATGGGAGCTTCCGAGCTGCCTGCAATAGGAACGGTTCCACCTCTTGGAACTCGCAGCGTCCACCCAGTTCCACCAGCAAGCGCCCGCTCTTGATGGCAGTCACATAGCGGTCAATGGGGCCTTTGCCACCTCCCATGCGGTGCCCTAAGCTCTTCCTGGTGACCGGTTTGGAAGGCGCCGGCACGCGCCAGATGGCAAACATGGATTTGGGATCCATGGAGCGCCCGATGGTCAAGCGCAGCATCTCCAGGTGGCCCCAGTGAAGGTATCCGCCGCCCAGAGCCTATAGGGGGGGAAAGGAGGAGGTGGGGATGGTTTGGGGTGGTACCCAACATCCGGTCATGAGCATCGCACAAGGATGCTGGGGATGGCTATAGGGATGCAGGGGCAGGAGGAGGGGATGGTTCCCATTGGGATATGGGGATGGAGGCTCACCAGGATCCCAGTGATGGCCATAGGGATGCAGGGGCAGGACAAGGGGATGGTTCCCATTGGGATATGGGATGGAGGCTCACCAGGATCCCAGTGATGGCCATAGGGATGCAGGGACAGGACAAGGGGATGGTTCCCATTGGGATATGGGGATGGAGGCTCACCAGGATCCCAGTGATGCCCATAGGGATGCAGGGGTAGGACAAGGGGATGGTTCCCATTGGGATATGGGGATGGAGGCTCACCAGGATCCCAGTGATGCCCATAGGGATGCAGGGACAGGACAAGGGGATGGTTCCCATTGGGATATGGGGATGGAGGCTCACCAGGATCCCAGTGATGCCCATAGGGATGCAGGGACAGGACAAGGGGATGGTTCCCATTGGGATATGGGGATGGAGGCTCACCAGGATCCCAGTGATGCCCATAGGGATGCAGGGACAGGACAAGGGGATGGTTCCCATTGGGATATGGGGATGGAGGCTCACCAGGATCCCAGTGATGCCCATAGGGATGCAGGGGTAGGAGGAGGGGATGGTTCCCATTGGGATATGGGGATGGAGGCTCACCAGGATCCCAGTGATGGCCATAGGGATGCAGGGACAGGACAAGGGGATGGTTCCCATTGGGATATGGGGACGGAGGCTCACCAGGATCCCGAATTGTCCCTGGGTGAAGTCAGTGGCCACCCGGGATGGGCCACGGATGTCCCGGAGCCGCCGTGGCTCCCGGCGCATCTTGGGCACCGCTGGCACCTTCTCCATGAACTTCAGCTTCGGCTTCTCCGGGATCTCGATCCCTGGGGGGGGGTAAAGGAATATGAGCACTCATTGAACCCCATTATATCCCTATGGGGGGGGTTCAACCCATAGACTCCCATTATATCCCCATGGGGGGGGGTTCAACCCATAGATCCCCATTATATCCCCATGGGGGGGGTTCAACCCATAGACCCCCATTATATCCCTATGGGGGGGGTTCAACCCATAGACCCCCATTATATCCCCATGGTGGGGGGTTCAACCCATAGACCCCCATTATATCCCCATGGGGGGGGTTCAACCCATAGACCCCCATTATATCCCCATGGGGGGCTCTCCCTCCATAGACCCCCATTATATCCCCATGGGGGGCTCTCCCTCCATAGACCCCTGTTATATCCCCATGAGGGGCTCTCCCTCCATAGACCCCCATTATATCTCCATGGGGGGCTCTTCCTCCATAGACCCCCATTATATCCCCATGGGGGGGGGTTCAACCCATAGACCCCCATTATATCCCCATGGGGGGGGTTCAACCCATAGACCCCCATTATATCCGCAGGGGGGGCTCTCCCTCCATAGACCCCCATTATATCCCTATGGGGGGGGTTCAACCCATAGACCCCCATTATATCCCCAGGGGGGGCTCTCCCTCCATAGACCCCCATTATACCCCCCTGGGTGGTGTTCTCCCCCCATAAGCCCCCTATTATACCCCCATGGGGGGTGTTCTCCCCCCATAGACCCCCATTAGACCCCCATAGGGGGGTGTTCTCCCCCCATAGACCCCCATTAGATCCCCATGGGGGGGTATTCTTCCCCCATAGTCTTCCATTAGACCCCCATCGGGGTGTGTTCTCCCCCCATACACCCCCATTATACCCCCATACGGGGGTGTTTACCCCTCCCAGACCCCCATTAGACCCCTATAGGAAGCGGTTCTCTCCCTATAGACCCCCATTAGACCCCCATAGGGGGGTGTTCTCCCCTCATAGACCCCCATTAGATCCCCATGGGGGGTGTTCTCCCCCCACAGACCCCCTATAGACCCCCATAGGGGGGTGTTCTCCTCCCATAGACCACCATTAGACCCCGCAGCCCCCCATTGCCCCCCCTCACCGCTGTAGTCCGGAGGCATCACCAGCTTCTTGAGGCCTGCCCGGGGCACGGTGACACCGGCGGGACCTGGGGACAGAGCGGAGCTGAGGCACCGGCAACGGGGACCCGAGCACCTCCGACCCGGGCACACAGGGCCCCATTGTACCCTATAGAGCCCCACTGTGCCACATAGAGCCCCATTGTGCCCCATAGCGCGGCCCGGACCCCCCCCTCTGACCTGCCCGGGTCAGGAGCGGCGCCCGCAGGCGCCATCGCAACATGGCCGCCATCACTTCAGTGCCGGTAGGGCGTCGCCATGTTGTACGTCCCTAAAAGCGGCACTTCCGGTTGTTGGTCCGTTCCCCCACCCGGGAAACACGGAGCGGAACTTTAGTTCCGGGCGGAATTCCCGCTAATTTTTGGCATTCCATGAGGTCGCTCCCGGTCCCACAATCCCCCCCCATCGCCCCCATATCCTCGGGGTCCGGTTGAGCCCCCCAGCATCCCTCCCCATGGTGTTCCCCACACACACAAACACGCATAGAGCTGCAAATGATGCTTTATTGGGGGGGCGGGATGTCCCTCGATGGGCTCAGTAGGTGCTGAACACAGCCTGGATGTGCTCCCCGTTGTGCGGCTTGTAGAGACCGACCCCTACGGTGAGAGCATGGGGTGAGCCGTGGGGCACGCTCCCCATCCTGCATCCCCCCCCATAGAGCCATGGAATGGTCCCCCCATGTCCCCCATCCCTTTATGGGTCCTTTCCAACCCAACCCATTCCATGGATCCCTCCCATCCATTCCAGCTCCTATCCCACCTTCCTGCAGAGCATCGCTGCCGCTCAGGAAGCACCAGTACGTCCGATCCTCGGCACTCCCGGCCAGCCCGTGGATGGACACCACCATGATCCCCCAGGACATCTGCTCCGTCTGGAAGCTTCCAGAGAGGCAAAGATGGGCTCCGTGTTCCATAGGGGAACCGGCCCCTAAACCCCTCCATCTCTCATCTATGGAGTCTATAGGGCTCACCTATAGAGTTATAGGGCTCACCTATAGAGTAAGTCACCTACAGGGTCTATAGGTCTCATCTATAGTGTCTATGGGTCTCACCTATAGGGTAGGTCACCTACAGGGTCTATAGGTCTCATCTATGGTGTTGATGGGTCTCATCTATAGGGTTATAGGTCACCTACAGGGTCTATAGGTCTCATCTATGGTGTTGATGGGTCTCACCTATAGGGTTATAGGTCACCTACAGGGTCTATAGGTCTCATCTATGGTGTCTATGGGTCTCACCTATAGAGTTATAGGTCACCTACAGGGTCTATAGGTCTCATCTATGGTGTCTATGGGTCTCACCTATAGGGTTATAGGTCACCTACAGGGTCTATAGGTCTCATCTGTGGCGTCTATGGGTCTCATCTATAGGGTTATAGGTCACCTACAGGGTCTATAGGTCTCATCGATGGTGTCTATGGGTCTCACCTATAGAGATATAGGTCTCACCTGTAGAGTTGTCTCACCTATAGAATCTATAGGTCTCACCTACAGAGTCATAGGTCTCACCTATAGGGTTATAGGTCACCTATAGGGTCATAGGTCTCACCTATAGAGTCATAGGTCTCACCTATAGGGTTATAGGTCACCTATAGAGTCTATGGGTCTCACCTATAGACCTCAGGGTTCTCCTTGGCCGCTACCTCCATCACCTCCAGCAGCGTGGAGCCATCCGGCACGCTCACGGTGATGCTGAAGCTGAAGGGCTTCCCCTGGAGCCGGTTGATGATGGAGAACTGCACCGTGATTGGCTGCGCTGCCAGGGATGCAGGCATGGAGCGGCGCCGGGGATGCAGAGCGGGAGCAGTGGTACCCATGGATGCAGCCGGGATGCTCCGGGATGCTCCGGTGCTGGAGGAGCAATCCAAGCTCCCTGCATCCAGGTAGGTCCTGCCCAGTAGTGCAGGAAGGAGCTGGGCAATGGCTGTGGGCAGCTGGAAGTGATGCTTGGACACCACAGAGAGGGCTTGGGAGCAATCCCATTGGCGAGGGGCGTAAAACATCCCTGCGGATTGCAGTGCCTGTGGGATGGCAGCAAGGATGGGACCATGGCCATGGAGCTGGGGGGGGGGTCCATGCTCCATGCTCCATGCCAAGCCATCCCATTGTACCTGCATGGCCAGCCCCATGCTGTAGATGTTCCCTATGAGGCCACCGCTCTGCTCCTGCTCGTCCAGGAAGGCGTTGGTGACCACGGACACAGCCTCTCGGAGCAGGTCCCGCTCATCCTGGAGCTCCGTGCGCCCATGGGTGCACACCAGCGCCAGCACCGCCATGGCCCGGGTGTCTGGGGCATCCCCATCACCATTGGGATCCATGGGGATGGTAGAGGGGGGATGCAATGGGGTTGGAGGGGGGGATCTCACCCACGGAGAGGGGGCTGGAGGGGCTCAGCAGCTCCCTGGCCAGCTCCACGGAGGCCTCTTGGTAGCCACCAACCCCGGTCAGGCAGAGGCTGAGGGCGTCCAGGCCGATGCTGTAAAGGGTGGTCCTGGGGACACCTTCGACCTCTGCAGAGTGAATGTGGGGAGGGGATGGGGGGGGATGATGGGGATGGGGGTGAGGAGATGGAGGGTTATGGGAAAATGGTGGGGGGATGATGGGGGGTGATGGGGAGGGGATGGGGATGATGGGGAGGGGATGGGGATGATGGGGAAATGATGGGGAAATGATGGGGAGGTGATGGGGTGATGGGGAGGTGATGGGGGTGATGGGGAGGCGATGGGGGTGATGGGGAGGTGATGGGGATGATGGGGAGGTGATGGGGATGATGGGGAGGTGATGGGGATGATGGGGAGATGATGGGGGTGATGGGGAGGTGATGGGGGTGATGGGGAGGCGATGGGGGTGATGGGGAGGTGATGGGGATGATGGGGAGGTGATGGGGATGATGAGGAGGTGATGGGGGTGATGGGGAGATGATGGGGGTGATGGGGAGGTGATGGGGATGATGGGGAGGTGATGGGGATGATGGGGAGATGATGGGGATGATGGGGAGGTGATGGGGATGATGGGGAGGTGATGGGGGTGATGGGGAGGTGATGGGGATGATGGGGAGGTGATGGGGATGATGGGGAGTTGATGGGGATGATGGGGAGGTGATGGGGATGATGAGGAGGTGATGGGGGTGATGGGGAGATGATGGGGATGATGGGGAGATGATGGGGATGATGGGGAGATGATGGGGATGATGATGGGGATGATGGGGAGATGATGGGGATGATGGGGAGATGATGGGGATGATGGGGAAGTGATGGGGATGATGGGGAGGCGATGGGGGTGATGGGGAAGTGATGGGGGTGATCATGGATGATGGGGGGAGGCACTGGGGACGCAGCCAGGCGCCAGCCCCATTCCCCCATCCCACCGTACCCATACTGGCCAGCTCCCCATCGGTCGCCTGCTGCAGGATGCCGAGCAGGTCCACGCTCATCCCCAGGGCCTGGACCTGCTGCGGGTCCTGGCAGGAGGACAGGAGGGCGAGCACGAGCAGAGCCACCTCCCCCGAGGCCATGCCTGTGGGGACAGGACAGGGGGGATGCGAGCGGTACCACCGGGCCCTATGGGATGCAGGGGGAGCATCCCCTGCCCCGTTCCTACCTTTTGGGGCCCTCTTCACCGCCTCCTCCTTCAGCTGCTGGAGCAGCAGCTTCTGCACATCCCTACTGGAGCCCCCGGCCAGGTTCAGGGCCAGGAGGACACTGGGGTTGGGGCTTGCATCCTCCAGCACGGAGCCCTCCATTCGCTGCAGCAGCTCTGACACCAGCGCCTGTGGGGCTGCTATGGGGAGAGGGGTTGGGGGTCATCAGAGCCCCATAATAGGCTCCCTATGGGTCCTGCGCATCGCACTCACCGCATCCCTGTGCCCATGGGGCACACAGCAGGGCCAGCAGGACCCCAAGGGGCAAAAGCACACGGAGCATCCTCTGGGATCAGAGCAGTCTGTCTGCCCAAGCGTCCTTGGGTCCTTATAACAGGTCCCAGTGTCCTTCCCTGGTCACCTTCCCCATAGCCACCAAGTCACCACCAGGCACCGTGGGTTTATCTGTGTCCCCACGGCTGGGTCATGGCTGTGGGGACTGGGATTTTCCATTGGAGGTCATTGGGAAGGAGCAGTGGAATGATGGGGTGGGGAGCTCACCCAATCCAACCCCAATATATCCCAATGGGGCAGGGTGATCCAAGCCCTTATGTCCTTGAGCACGGTCCCAAGGGACTGGGCCCTTCCTCCTGGACCTGCTCATGATTATTGCAGAGGCATGGACCCGAAATAACAGGGAGGCAGTGAATAATGCATGAGCCTGGGCAGGGCATGGGGAGAACAAGGCAGGAACCAAAGGGATGGGTCCAACAGGAACCCTAACCCTGTTCTGGGGCTGGAGATGGGCTTTGTCCCGAAGGAATGGGATGAATCCCACCTTAAAGCACCAATGATGCACCAGGGTCTTGTTCTTCCCCTTTATCCCAAGCTTTTGGGATGCTATAGGAACGATGCGCTTCATCGGCGTGCTGTGGAGGATGCTCCTTGCTCCCCAAGCATCCCCATCCCTGCAGGGTGGTGCTCACCAAGAAGCCCTTTAAAGGCAAAAAAACCCCTCTTTTCTGGTTAAAAAGGTCAGGAATCTCCCTTTCCAACCCTAAAATAGGGGCTTGTTGAGGGGCTGCATCACTGGTGATGCTCAACCACCCCTGCAGCCCCAAGGGACCGGGTGCCACCGGTGTCCCTGCATCACCCCAAGGAGTGGTCCTTGGTGGAGCTGCTGCCATCATCCCCATTGGCTTCCCAGTTGCTCCAGCAGCACTGGAATAGGGTGGAAGATTCCCTTTGGAGTAGAAGTGGTACCCAAGGACCTTCGTCTCACCCTCATTAATGGGACCAGAAGACCCTTAAAGCCCCACAGTGGGTTTGGGGAGGGAACTGAAGCTTCTGCATTGAGGTCACCCCAAAAGAGGAGCCACAACCCCAGAGAGAGCCTTTATTCCCAAGAGGAAGTGAAGCCGAGGGGATGCTCTGGCTCCCAGCACACATTGGGACCTCTCCATGAGCACCAAAGAGGTCCTGAACCCCAATAGGGTACTTATAGGGCCCCCCCAGACATCCCAGCAAGCAAAGAGCCCCCTGAGGCCCGAAGCAATGGGGAGGGAAGGGGGATTAGGGGGTGCTTGCTGGCTTTGGGGAGCAGGGAGCAGCACATCCCAGTCTGCAGTGGGGTGGGAGGAGGATGCTGTGGCCATAGGGATGGAGATAGGATCCCAATCGATGTCCTCATGGACCAGCACTGGGTTAGACCTCGGGAGCAGGGAGCTGCAAAGGAAGCCAAGAGATGCTGCTTAGAGAAGGGGATGGGGTTTGGGGTGAGGCACCAGTATCCCCCAAGCCCATAGGGGCTGTGGTACCCAGTGCCCATCAATGGTGAGTATTGGGGTGAAGGTGTTGGGGTGCTCCTGGGGATGGGGGGGTCATGCAAGGGGTGGGTGCTGCTACTGAGAGGCAGCAGCGGAGATGGGGATGAGATAATGGGGTTTGCCCTGCTCTGAACTGGGGTTTGCCCTGCTTCTATATGGGGTTTGCTCTGTTCCTCCATGGGGTTTGCTCTGTTCCTCCATGGGGTTTGCCCTGTTCCTCCATGGGGTTTGCCCTGTTCCCCTATGGGGTTTGCTCTGTTCCCCTATGGGGTTTGCCCTGTTCCCCCATGGGGTTTGCCCTGTTCCCCTATGGGGTTTGCCCTGTTCCCCTATGGGGTTTGCCCTGTTCCTCCATGGGGTTTGCCCTGTTCCCCTATGGGGTTTGCTCTGTTCCTCCATGGGGTTTGCTCTGTTCCCCCATGGGGTTTGCCCTGTTCCTCCATGGGGTTTGCCCTGTTCCCCTATGGGGTTTGCCCTGTTCCTCCATGGGGTTTGCTCTGTTCCTCCATGGGGTTTGCTCTGTTCCTCCATGGGGTTTGCCCTGTTCCCCTATGGGGTTTGCTCTGTTCCTCCATGGGGTTTGCCCTGTTCCTCCATGGGGTTTGCCCTGTTCCTCCATGGGGTTTGCCCTGTTCCTCTATGGGGTTTGCCCTGTTCCCCTATGGGGTTTGCTCTGTTCCTCCATGGGGTTTGCTCTGTTCCTCCATGGGGTTTGCCCTGTTCCTCCATGGGGTTTGCTCTGTTCCTCCATGGGGTTTGCTCTGTTCCTCCATGGGGTTTGCCCTGTTCCCCTATGGGGTTTGCTCTGTTCCCCTATGGGGTTTGCCCTGTTCCTCCATGGGGTTTGCTCTGTTCCTCCATGGGGTTTGCTCTGTTCCTCCATGGGGTTTGCTCTGTTCCTCCATGGGGTTTGCCCTGTTCCCCTATGGGGTTTGCCCTGTTCCCCCATGGGGTTTGCCCTGTTCCCCCCTGTTCCCCATAGGGCCGGAGCTCACCTCAGTGTAACTCGGTGGCTGCGGCATCTCAGTCACTGGTGCTGCCAGGTCTACCCGGGTGGCACTGGGCACGATCAGCATGGACTGGGATCAGATGGAAACAACGGGGGTGAACCAGCGCTATGGGACCAAGCAGGTCTCACCCCCCCTTTACCCTGCACCCCATTACCCTACCTCATTGGAGCTGAGGCGAGTGGCCCTGCACCAGAAGTTGGCCGTGGCCACAGCGATGCAGAACTCGAGGATGGTGAAGATGAGGAGCACGATGGAGATCCCGTTCCCTGCGAGCTCCAGGGTGGGCGAAAACCCCCATCAGCCCCCCCGTTACACCCCAAGGATGGGGAACCCCCCCCATGGGAACCGATCCCACCCCATAGATGGGTACCAAGGAGCCCTTCGCATCGCTGCGTTTATGGCTTTCGGGATGGGAACGGGCGCTTCCAGCGTGAGTCATCGGCCGCAAATAGGGGCAGGAAGGCGGCGCGGCGCCGGGTGCTGGCTCCGCGTAGGGCCGTGGTTCCCCCCCCATACACACACCCCGATCCCAAGCAGCCCCATAGAGCAGCGGGGAACAGCGCCCTCGGAGCCAAAGGGATGGAGAAGGGAGGAGGGAATGGTGTCAAAGGGGAAGGAGAGCGTGGAAAAGCCCCCCCCGTATCCCAGGAAGGGGTCGGGGAGGATGCAGGATAAAGAAGGGGATGCTCCGCAATGGGAGGACTTGGAAAAGCTCCTCGTTTCCCAGGAAGGGGACAGGGAACATCCAGGAGGGATGGGGAAGGGAGAAAGGGATGTTCCCAAAGGGAAAGGAGCCTGGAAAAGGCTCTCATATCCCAGGAAAGGCTCGGGAAGGGATGGAGAAGGGAGAAAGGGATGTTCCCAAAGGGAAAAGGAGCCTGGAAAAGGCTCTCATGTCCCAGGAAAGGCTCGGGAAGCATTCAAAGGGATGCAGAAGGGGGACGGGGATGTTCCCAAAGGGAAAAGGAGCCTGGAAAAGCCTCTCATATCCCAGGAAAGGCTTGGAAGCATTCAAAGGGATGGAGAAGGGGGAAAGGGATGCTCCTGAAGGGCTGGTACCCCGGTTCAAAGGGGGGCCCATGCTGTGCCCCCCCCTCACCTACCAGGACCAAGTAGCTGTAGTAGTTGAAGCTGGAGTGATAGAGCCCGTTGAGGTTGAGGTCCACGATGAAGGCCACGATGCCCAGGAGGGCGAAGATGGCGCTGATGATGTTCATGGTCTGGCTGCCCTTCACCTGCGGGCACACAGGGGCTTTGGGGGCAGCACAGGGGTATGGGGCAGCCCCATAGGGATACCCATCACTGTGGGTCTGTATCCAGGGTAACAGCATGGGGAGGGGGTGTCCTTTCCTTCATTCCCATTGACAGGAATACGCCTGCAAAAGGATTTGCCCTGATAGGGTTTGGGGTTGCTCCCCCCCCCCATATCCTGCACCCACTTTGGGGTGCCCAGCACCACTCACCGCACACTCTGTGGGGCTCTTCTCTGCCCCAATGGAGAGACACCCCGAGATGATGAACTGCCAAAAGGGAAACGGGGGGACACAGTGAAACACGGCCATGGTCACCCCAAACCCCAAATACCCCCCCAGCATCAACCCATGGGGTCCCTGTGAGCTCATTGAGTGCTGTTAGGATTGAGTTTTAAAGCCGGGAGGACCGGGGTCGCGGTGGGCACCGTTCCCAAGGGGAATCCCTGCCGGTGAGCATCATTCCCAGTGGGAATCCCTCCCCATCCATGCCCATAGTACGCACGGACACGCCGCCCAGGAAGGGGATCTCTCCGATGACGAAGACGGAGGTGTAGACGTTGGTGAGCGTCGTCAGGACGATCCCGAAGCCGATGTGCATGAAGCCGGTCATGATTTGGATGGTCTATGGGATAGAGCGGGAGCGATCCATACAAACCCCACATCCTTTATCCCGGGATGGGGTTAGGGGGGTCCCCTTGTCCCCAAGCTGAAGCATTGCAAAGGGGATGAGGAGGAGGAGTAGGAACCCTTGGGAATGAGGCAGAAACACCGGGAATGGGGCAAAAACACCGGGAATGAGGTAGGGAAAGGAATTGCCCCCCAAAAGTCGTCCCGTCCCCCCCCGAACTCACCCCCATGACTCGGTTCTTGCCCTTGGGCAGGGTCTCGGCCGTGTACATCACTGCGCGGCTGCCCAGCCGCAGGCTCCCCATCCCCTGCATGGAAGCGGAAAGGGGGGGGCAAAGGGACCCCCCCTTCCCGGTCCCGGAGCAGCTCCGGTCCCCACCGGGGGCGTTCCCGCCCCCCCCCCCGCAGGCCTCACCCAGCCACGCCCCCCAAGGCCTGGCGCTCATTGGTTGACCGAGGGTGACGTCAGAGGCTGCGGCATCCCCCGGCCACCGCCCAGCCCCATCGCGGACCCCGCGGTCCGGCCGCGCATCACGGGGTGAGCAGGGGATACGGAGCGTATAAGGACATATAGGAGCATATAGGGATGTATAGGAACATATAGGATCGTAATGGGGGTGATGGAA